TTGATCCTGTCTGATGATCGAGTTTTTTGTTACTCGATCCCGTTTGTTCATGAGGTTGTCTGGTGTTCCTGAGGTCGTCTATTCCTGAGGTCTACCGCCGCTTTTCTGTGCTTGTTGTTCAAGCAATCTGAAGATCACTACTCGCAACTTAGTATTGTTCAAACTCTAGCTGCTTCGTGTCAAAGCATATTAAGCTTGAGGGGGAGTGTTAGGATATAGATATCTCGAGTTCATATTGATATACATCGTTATGAATGTATGGGTATATATATATTGTTCAAATCCAAGTTAGTTTGGTGATAAGGCCTCCTACTATTTACCTCTATCTCCAAGAATCATACCATATTTCTCTCCTGTAATTGTGTGATTGTCCTCTATATATAGAGGTACTTATTGATGTAAACATTCATCCCAAAATAGTGAAGATGTAGCTCTTTGGGCTTTGGATCCGTGGACGTAAGGCTTCAGCCAGAACCATGTTCTCTCTGCGTTCTCCATTCAATGTCTGTGCATGTATGCTCCTCCCACCTCCTCTTCTTTAGCAAGCACAGATCCAAGCAACTTGCTCCCACGAGGATCGAGAGCTTCTCGCAATGGTGCTCCTCAATTGCCCCAAATGGCTAATGCATGGCCTATCTTGAGCAGATCATTACAACTCTCTCTATAAGGCGATCTCTGACGTGTTGCAACTCTCTGTCTCTACTGCGATCTCGTTTCAGGCTTGAAAAATGCGCAAATACCAGCAAGAACTGATATTTTTGTCCACATAGCAGTTACATTAGAGATGTTGACTTCAATGAAATGCCAATGAAATTGGGCTTCTAGACAATAGCCCACATCTTAAAAAAATACGACTCATTTTTCTTTTCTTTTCCACTTCAATTTTTTTTTTTTTTCTTTTGGGTTTGGGCTAATGTATGGAAAAAAGACACTCAAAACATTTGGTATAAATTTATACTTCTACTGATCGGAAAACCAAAGAGGTACAGATTGCCCTGATAAATGACGTAGAGTGTTCTAGAGAGAGAAACTCTATACTGAAAATATCCCATATGCTCCAATGGAGATAATTGACAAAGAAAATGTACCTAGGGAGAGAAAAAACTAACAGAGAGAGAATGCAATTGCTATTGTGTAGTGGGAGAGAGGGGAGATAGGAGAATTGGTGGTTAAAGACAATAGGTTGACTGTAGAGAGAGATGTGGGTAGGAGGTAGAGAGAGAAAGCAGAGGAAGGTGCTAAAAGAATTGCCCAACAGAGTAATCTTCAGAAGGGTCTAAGATATGAAGCATGTGGTGGGGTACTTCGTTTCTGTTACTAGGTGAAGGTGTTGCAGATCCCACGTCAAGTCCTCGATAGACCTGAACTGAATCCGCACTGATGATTTGGCCATTAAGTTCCTTGCCAAGCTCAAGCGCTAGCTTGGTCTTTCCAGCGCCAATAGGCCCAGATATAAAAATCACGCACTTCTTCCCATTCTTAGCATACGAATAGAAACATCTCACACTTGTCAAACCAATGGTTTTTCCATAGCCATAATCCCACCTCCTCTTCTGAAACTTCAAAGGGCCAGCGATTCTAGGGCATGATAGGGCATAAAAGCAGCAGTCCATTCTCTGCAAAATACGGTGGGCACGAGTACGAGCCAACGACAGAGGCAGAGGGTAATGAAATTCCCAACCTCATATCTGAGGTGGAACCTCAGATCTTAGGTCGGCAAGCCCAAATCTTAGGTTGGCGAGCCCAGATCTTAGGTTGAAGAGTCTAGAGCTTTGATATCATGTTAGAATTCGTGAGAGCATACATGCATAGACATAGAATGGAGAATGGAGAGAGAAGAAGAGAAAGCACAACATTTACGTGGTTCAGGCCGAAGCCTTACGTCCACAGATTCAAAGCCCAAAGGGCTACTTCTTCACTATTTTTGGATGAATGTTTACATCAATAAGTACCTCTATATATAGAGGACAATCACACAATTACAGGAGATAAATATGGCATGAATCTTGGAGATAGAGGTAAATAGTAGGAGGCCTTATCACCAAACTAACTTGATGATCAAATAACTTTGACTTGGTCTCTTCTTATCTTCTAGATACCGAATCTTATCAAGAGATATATACCTATACATCCATAATGATGTATATCAATATGAATCCGAGATATCTATATCCTAACACTGTATACCCATGAAACTGAAAGATAAGTTCTGTAGGACAGTTGTGAGACCAGCTTCGCTTTATAGGGCAAAATGTTGGGAGATCAATAAACAACATAACCATAGAATGAGAGTAGCTGAGGTGAGGATGTTGAAATGGATGAATGGCAAGACAAGAAGGGATAGAATTCAGAACGAATACATTCGAGAGAATTTAGGTGTAGCACCAATAGGCAATAAGATGAGAGAAAGTAGACTTGAGTAGGCTGACCACCTGCTGTGCAGATCTAGTACAGCAACTTTTAAGAGGTACGAGTTAGAAGGCTCAAAAAAGATAAGGGGTAGGCCCAAGAGGACATGGTTGGAAGTAGTGAAAAAAAATATGGGGACTTATGGCCTCACTAATGATATGGCTCTTAATAAAACAGAAAGACGGACCAGGATTCATGTAGTTGACCAATTAGTTGGGAAAGGCTCTGATGATGATGATGATTCCATACATTAGTGGTGGTGCAATATTGTATTTTTGGCATTAATGTGGTACACTTTCTTCAAGTTCTTTCCACCTCTTCCTCGGTTTTAGTTAATAGCTATCTTAATTTCTACCCTTGAACTACAACAAAAAAAAAAATCTATCACGATTCTCTGTTGATTCTGTCGGTTTCATTGGAGTTCTTCTTGTCAAGTTTTACCATTCTTGAACCAATAAAAAGAAAAAGGTGTGATTTGCAAAAGGTCTCAATTTCAAAAAACTAAAGTAAGGTGCGCACCAAATTTTGTCATAAGATGTAATTTTGGTGTAAGACAATTTTAGGATGGCCTGAGAATTTCTTTTCATCTCTAATTATAAAATTTTAGACTCCAAAAATGGTTCAAACCAAGTAGATCTATAAATACATGACCATATTGAAAATGGATGGTCTAGATAATGTGATGCAAGATGCATTATTTTTTATATTCGAAATATTTTTTCTTTTTTTTCATCTTTATAGATCTTGATGTTGAGATGATCCATAAGAGGGTTTTCCTACTTCCAAAGAACATTTTATAATAGATCTTTTAAATGCTCTCACTAAAAAAAAATAGATTCTTTAGATGCAACTTAATTTTACATTTTAAGATTGCAACCTTATATTAACTTTTTCCAAAAGAAAAAGCTTTCCGCATTCTGTAATTTCTTTTCTGTAATATCATGGATATTCTTCACGCTTTTGCCAAGTGCTTGTGCAATTCGATGTCTTTCGTATAGGTTTCTATGAAATTGGTCTTTTACTTTCAAATGGATCGCCTAGAATTCTGAATTTCGAACTTGCTTGGAACTCTCTCTCTCTCTCTCTCTCTCTCTCTCTCTCTCTCTCTCTCTCTCTCT